AGAGGTAATAAAACGGGGTCAATAAAGTAGAGAGTGCCACAAAAGATTAGAAGAGTATGCTCTTAGTGGGGTTTCTTGGCATGTAAGCCGTTGAAACCCCCGCAATAGTGTTTTTGAAATCCTTCACTAATAAGTCAAAATGTGATAGCAAGAAAGACCGAGGAGGAGCGCTAAAAGGTAGTTCATGAAGGGTGATAGGATGGAAGGAGAAGCAAGGTTTTTGGTCGATGCTAGTGGACACTGTTCGTAGGGAAGGTTCCTAGTCGAAACCATAGAACCTTCGGGTTTATGGTGAAGATGTAGGACCTCATGACGTGTTTGCCACCACCCAAAAATACTTTTCCCCATGTCCAAGACAATTGCCAGTCATTTGAACCCGTGTCTAAGACCTCCGGACAAGCTAGTGATGACAACTGCCCCATGAACTCTAACCTTTAGAGGTTGCTGCCGTGGTGAAGAGACGATAGGGTTGAGTGTATATGATTGTGCACATTCTTTGCACCAAAAAAGTCCCGACCTCACTGGTCAAGAGAGTGAGTGATTCATTCTTGTTTTGCATGTAATATCATACCCCGGTGAGGACCTTTGTTGCCCATTTGTTCGTTCCTTGGACTTGAATGTTATGCATGATTAGTTGGGGTTTATAAGTGATTTTGTTAAGACTTGCATTGATTCATGAACAAGGTGAGAACTTTTCGTATCCTCATTTTGGTGACCTCGAATGTCGTTTGTGGTTGATGTCGGTATTGCTTGCAATGGTCCATGTGTTAATTGCCAATAGCCCTTGAAATTCGCCACTTTGTGCCCTTTGATTTGTCCCCAAAGCATTTTGATAGGATGAGAGATTACCTTGTGTGAAATGATTTTCTTGGGGACAAGCAAACGTCTAAGTGTGGGGGAGTGATTCGGGTCCAATTGTACACATTTTACCACTCATTTCTTGATAGTTTTGCTTTGCATTTCATCGTCACTCAACATATTTCATGCTAGGTTGTGCTTGTTTTGATACATTTCAGGTCCTAGCACGTGTGGAAGGGTCGAGGACGAGTTTTGGGACGATTGAAGGCCAAAAAGTGCAAAAACCGAAGAAAAGTCCAAAGTCCGTGACTGTTTCCCCGTAACAGTGAAGTGCAGGCGTCCAGGTTTCAGGCCATGTTCACGATTTCTCATTGGAGTTCACAGTCTCCTAAGGCCATGAACTGAATCCATAACCGTGAACCGTGAAGCGTTCAGGGCAATTTATGAGGTTACTGACGCCGCGTGAGTTCATGGCCACCAAGACCGTGAACTCAAGTGAGTGAAGCGTTGCGTTTCGACACAACACGCCGAGTTCACGGATGCGTTGAGGAGTTCACGACCTTGAACTGGAAGGCCGTGAACTCAGCACGATCTCAGTATAAAGGGAGAGCTGAAAAGGAAGAAGAAAACATGAGCTTCATTTTTAGGTTAGATTTTCATTCTTAGAATAAGGAGGATTCTAGTGAGAGGTTAGGGTTTCTTCTAGAGTGAGAAAGTGCAAATCAAAGGAGGAAGAAGGAGCTTTGGGCTTGTTCCTAGCTAGAGGATTGAAGATTTCTTCATCTCAAGGGTGTCTCAAGCAACAAGGAGGAAAGATTGGCATCACTTCATTGTTCTTTCTTCCCCTTTTGTTGTTTTCTCTTGTCTAGTTATGGAATAGCCTACCTACTCACTTGGGTATTGTGAATCCTAGTCTCTCTATGTGTTTGGATGTAATAACATGAACCTATTGTGTTGATTGGGTGTTTTATATGATATTTGAGATATTATTCATGAATGATTGAGTGTGCTAGCTTTAACTCAATATTGGGTAAAATTGACCTAGGGGGTGTAAATCCCCTTTTGGTCCAATAGGAAACTAGACTTCTTAGCCACTTGGGAAACCTCCTTTAGGTCGATTCAAGACCAAAATCTCAAGTATCAGAGTAGGGTCGTGATTCCATCGGGATTGGTCTCTCTGCCGACCGGATTAAGTTCCGAGTGTTTGGTATGCAATCCTTAGTCGGCTAGTCGAGAGGATTAGATTTCCTATCCTATCGTTGTCACCCTTAGCCGAATAGTTAAGCGAGTTAGCTTTCTAACTTGTTGCAATGAGTCTCAATTAACTAACTAAGAGAGTTAGGGATCTCCTGGGTTGATTGGTGAAGAGGGCTAGGTTCCCTAGCTATGAATCACAATCCTTAACCTAACGGTTAAGGGAGTTTGTCGCTAGCTAGTTGCACTCACCTCGCGGTGTATGAACACGTCTTTCACACTAGAGCTTTGTTTGTCGTTTCTTAGCATAAGACTAGGGGGAGCAATACCCGGGTGAAGTCCTCTCAAGTAGAATTCTCCTCCATTTACTTTCCTTGCTTGTTTAATTTGTAGTTTTTTTTAGTTTTAAACCCAAAACTGTTTTGGTAGATAACAACTTAAGCGATTGAAGTAGGGGTACATAGACCGGCCTGGGTTTGACAATTAAATACTTGCCCTATGCTGCAACTGACTAGAGTTTAAAAACTTGGGCTCTATTCGAGATTAATTCGCGGTATAGTTTTGTGCGAGTCAGGAGGCAGAGCAAAGGAAGGGTCGGAGTTCCCTTCCTCTTTGAGCTATCCGCCGCTGTCTGTTGGAGAAGGGAGGTCGCAGATGCAGGGGTGGCTGGGAAAGTGATTCCATTTAGGATTAGGAAGGGAGGTCCCAAATGCTGCCGTGGGGATTTTTAAAATTTTGATTTTTTATTTTAATTGAATTAGAGAATTAGAAAAAATATTAGTAAATGATGTGGCGCCCATGCATCAGCCACGTTAGTTGTTTTTTGTTGAGTCTCTAACGGAATAGTGTTTGATCGTCAATATTAACGGTCAAATAAAATTATATTCCAAATTTGTCCAATAGTTTCAAAAGTATGTCATAAATGCCTGATTTGAAAAATCGGGCAAGAACTGTCACTTACGCCAAACTTCGAACCAAACTAGCGTATTAACCCTTTAAATTTTAAATGTCATTATTAACTAATTAACACTACTAATATTTTGGATTTTTCTCCAAATTTAAGTGGTGCCATGGAGCCCCCTTATTTGGCCCTAGATACGCCCCTGCATGTGTGCTATGTACAAGGCTTCTTCTACACTATTGTTGTTCTAGCCCTTGGTTGGTCTTGGATTTTTTGTCTACGGTAAGGAAGTGGTTAAGTATTATATATGATATTTTTCTACAAATTAAGTTATTGAGATCAGTTGGATTATAATATATTATTAGACCGCTGATTTGTTGTTCATGTCAAGTATTCAAGTCCTCAAATTCACAAATATTAAGTGTTGTCTTTAAAGCACATGGTATAGCACTATGTGCAAAGTTCAAACCCATAAATGGGCTCCCCTTTGAGAATGCGTGTAACAAAATAGTTAAATATCATCATCGGCATCTTCCAACAACTCGAATTAATGGGACAAGTTGGTTTATGACAGCAACACCAGTCTGTGAGAATTCAAGAGGAGGTCACGACGAGACGAGCCATTTATCATTACGACAGGTGTCAAGTGGAAGTGCAGTGATGTATGCAGCTGAGGCATCCTAATAGACCGGTAGACTTGAACCTTGTTCTTACATGACCCGATCAATTCGATCAGGTACTCGCCATCTATTTTTGATGGATATCTCGTATCTGAAAAATCGCAGTTCGCCCCGTCAATCCCCCCGGACCCAAATAACTCAATTTTCTCCCATGAACTATTTGGGTCAATGGATTAGTTCGATCCAAAACTTGAGATAATGGCATGGTCCATTAAACCGTACCGGCGGTTCAACCAAAAAATACCAGTATCGGAGGCTAACTCGATATGCGGTATTTAAAGGTATTAACGGTTGAACTACGGTTCAGCCACGATTTTACCATAAAATACCCTACTACTAACTTTTCCGGTACAGTGTCCGATACTGTTTCATGGACCATGGATAATGGCTGCTAGCTACTAGGTGTTGGTTTACTTTGGCTTCTTTGGTTCATGTTATACATAAACAGGCCAAACATAGATCGAACTAATATCAAATTTTGACAAAAGACTTATTTACGTTCTTAGTATGTAATCAGTAAAACAAACAATAGTCTTTGGTCATTTTGGCGTAGCAACTGATGGAGTGAAAGCTTAATATTGTACTTGCAATCTGACAAATTTTTTATTGAATGAGAAATATGATCATAAGTACACATGATTCAGCTACAAACTCGCTTTTCATCACTCTAACCACCAACTCACAGCTCTAAAAATAATTAGCACCTTTTTTATGGTTAATCAAAAATTTCATTAAGTACTAGAATTGCAACTGCAAAAACCCTTCTCAAAGTAAACAACAAGTACCTATCAAACTCTTTACATCAACCCAAATATAAACCTATCTATACAGTATATCAGCCCTGTTCAGGGAGGTCTGGCCGCAAGAATCCACTTCACTTCATCCTCTATTCTACCTGCTATCTTGCTTGGGGAACAAATCACTGCATCATGAGCTCGACTACAACGTTCTCGCCATATATAACTAACACACATGGACCACCTTAACCGACCTTCACTTCTTCCTCCAGTACCCCCAGCCCATTGCCTGATCGCCCACTTCAGGTGATCCTGCCATGAAGAGAAGTTTGGGAACCTGCAAAACCGAGCTAACACAGCACAAAAAACACTCCTGCTGTATGAGCAGCCTAAGAATAGATGATCTCTTGTCTCAAGCCCTCCTGGACACAAACCACATGAGATGTCATCAATCAAACCCCAATTCTGCAATTTATCCTTCGTGGTAATACGATTAAGTATCACAAGCCATAACAATAGACTATGCTTCGGGCTATATGGTTTCCCCCAAACTACTTTGTACCATTCAACTACCCCCTGGGGATCCCTAATAGATTTTCAGTTTGACAGAGTATCTTGGCAACACCCTGCCATCCCAAGCAAGTGACACACCACTGCCAGAGATATGGGACTGAACTCCCACCCTGCTTTTCAGAATCTTCCTCCATATCCAAGTCCCTGCTGACTGCCCTGTGATATCCCATATGGACCTGGCCTAACCCATAAAGATCCAGATTCAGCCAACAGATTCCAGACATGGCGAATTACACATGCTTGGTTCCATTTTTTAAAGTCTCTTATCCCCAATCCTCCCTCATTTCTGGGCCAGGCAACATACTTCCAGGCTACCAATGCCTTCTTCCTCAAACTTCGATTCCCCACACCCCACAAAAACTGATTGCATATATTCTCTATCTCTTTTAAAAGCTTTTGGGGCAGCAGGAATAATGCCATCCAATATTGCATAATACTAGTAATGACAGACGAAACTAGCTGTAATCTACCTGCATAACTGAGTTTCTTCGCTTGCCATGTTCTAATTCTCGCTGTTATCTTATCTACAAGTACTGAGCAGTCAGCAGAGGTGAGTTTACCTGATATGAGAGGTACACCAAGATAGCGGACTGGCAGACTACCAAGTGGAAATCCAGTGTAGGCTGAGATCCATTGTTGCTCTTCATCAGGGGTTCCACAGCAGAACAGCTCACATTTTGAAGGGTTGCAACGAAGACCAGAATCCTTGTAGAACTGAGTAAGCACTCTGTTAATGCCCGCCACTCCCCTTATCGACCCATTTGTAAACACTAGAAGATCATCTGCAAAGCATAAATGAGTGATCCGTAGTTCTTTACAACGTGAGTGATATGGGACTTGATTATCAATTGCTGCCCAGTGAATTAGACACGAGAAGTACTCCATTGCCACTGTGAATAAATATGGGGAGAGAGGGTCCCCATGTCTTAGGCCTTTGCTAGCAGAGAAGTAGCCACAAAGACCACCATTAAAGGACACACTGAGCATTGGCGTGGTGATACAAGCTTCAATAAGTTTGAAATAAGATGTAGGGAATTCCATAGCCAGAAGCATATTTATCAGAAATGACCAATTGACTGAATCAAATGCTTTCATTAAATCTATCTTCAAGACACACCTCCATGTAGTGTTCTTTTTATGATAATCCTTCACTAACTCACTAGCCATCAATATGTTGTCACTAATTAACCTTCCTTTGATAAAAGCAGACTGTGACTTGCCAATAACCTGAGGGAGGACTGCAGCTAGCCTATTTTATAGAAGTTTTGATATACCCTTATATAGCACATTACAGCAAGATATAGGTCGAAAATCTTTCATTCTATCAGCATTGGTCACTTTTGGAATTAGAGAAAGGATTGTAGAGTTCACCTGCTTTGGCATCACTCCTGTTTGAGAGAAATCCATTACCACTTCTTCCACCAGCTTCCCAATTACAGCCTAGTCTGATTTGTAAAATTCAGCAGTAAAGCCATCTGGACCTGGGGCTTTATCATTTGGCATCTTCTTGAATACTTCCCTGATCTCCTCTCTAGTAACTGGTGCTAACAACACTTGGATACCTTCTGGATCTAACCTCTGCCTTAGCTGATTCTGGAAATAGTCTACTGTGTTATACTGGACCTCTTTATCAACCTCTCCCGAAAGTCTCTTATATAATGCAACAGCTACCTCCCCCATTTCTTTTACCTCTATCACTTCTGTATTATCATCTCTTACTAGTTTCATAATGGTTTGCTTATGATTTCTGATTCTCACCATGGCATGGAAATAAGCAGTATTTGCATCACCTTCCTGAATGCTTCTTATCCTGGACTTCTGTCTGAAAAAGCTTTCTTCTGCACGTTGAGTGTCATGGCATAATGCTGCCAATTCGGCTTCCTTTCCCACATTTTCTGCAGTCGGATCCTGGAGAACCAACTGCTGCTGCTGTTCAAGGGCCTTCTCTGCTGCTCTTGCTCTCTCAGATATTTCAGAATACTCCGAGAGGTTTAATTGCTTCAGTTTGGCTTTGAATTGCTTTAGTTTGTAGTAAAATCTTTGGTATGACAGTCCCCTAGCTTCTCCACTCCACGCTTCTTCCAGTAGGGTCCAATACTGGGGGTGTTTCTGCCAAAACTTGAAGTATTTAAAAGGCTTGGGGAGTGAGCCTAACTTTGGATCTGAATCCAAAACCAGACCACAATGATTTGATACCCCAGGAGCTAATGTTCTAGCCACACTCTGAGGAAAAGATATAAACCATTCCTCATTTACAAGAAACCGATCAAGCCTCTTCGCAATTGGATTTGTTGATTGTTTGTTCCACCAGGTGAAAGATGAACCATGGATCTTATGATCAATCAAATTCATTTCCATGGCCCATTCCCTGAAATCCAGACCTCCCTGATTCATTACTGTAGCATTCGGCCTCTTAAACATCCATGATAGCATTAAAATCATTCATGTAGACACCAGGACCCCCCACCACTTTCCAATGCAACAATTCTGAATATAATTCCAACCTCTCCCTCGCTTTATTTGGGCTGTATATGGCCGTGATAGTGCAGTTGGTAGTCCCTTCAATCCCGACTTGAATGAAATGCTCCCCCCCCCCCCCCCCAATCTTAACTTGCTGAATCTTAAGACTAGGCTTCCAAAAGAGCCAGACCCTCCCTGAAGCTGAATGAGCATAGTTATCTAAATGCTGCCAGCTACTAAAGTGACGCTGGATGATATCCTCGGCATTCTTTTCCAAAACTCTAGTTTCTAATATAGCTGCAAAATCAATATTTAACTTTATTAACTGTCTACTAATATATCTATGTTTCTCAGGGGCATTAAATCCCCTGAGATTCCAACTCAAACTTCATTTATGCTTTCTGCCCCTCCCCTTTTTAGGAGGGCCCCTGTCAACCAGAGCTTGACCTTGAGCATTAAGGGGAACTCTTGCCTGAACGGAAGAAGCGGGAATCTTAAGAGCAGTGCCAAACATAATGCCTTTCCCCTTCCTTGTAACCAGCTGGAATCCATCCTCATCAATCAGCTTACCAGACCCAGAATAAGAACTTATGGGAGTACCAACATGAGTAACTACCTTCCTGCTAGCCTGTGAGCCAGCTCCATGACAAATTTCAGAGCATGAACCCTTTAGATCAGATCCTTCAGTATGCCTTTCGACAGGTGAGCCACTCACTTGCACCACTAAAGCCTCCTTTTCTCCAACAGTCGAGCCAGCTACTGGAACTGGATCCCCTTCATTTGACTTAGGAGTCTCATCACCTCTTGCCTGTGAGCAAGCTTTTGGACAGTGACCTCCTTCAGTGGAACGCTCTCCTTTACCTGACCCTCCCCCATTAGCAACTAGTGAAGTGGCCGTAGCTTTTGCAACCCAGATTACCTCATTTGTCATTGCCTCTGCCCTGACTAACTCCCTGCTAGCAACAACTTGCCCTTCTTTGCATTCCTTTCCCTGACCTTCGCAATGGCCAAATTCCTTACATTGCTTGCACAGTAATGGGACATGAAGATACCGAACAACCAAATACAAAGGAGCTTCCCCTTCCGGAGTGACACTAATTGTGTCTGGAAAATCATAATCAGTCTAGATCTCCACACAGACCCTCGCTACACCTGCCTGAGCCCCTATCATTGTTGCCTGATCCATCCAAAGCGGCCTTCCGATTAAGCTAACGATTCTGCTCAATCCTTCCTCAGTACTATACTCAAGCGGCAAACCGCTAATACGAACCCAGATCGGAAGCGAATTCAGACTCATACAAACTGCTTGGATACCTGGAACCCAGCGACGAAGAAAGAGAGGATTATTGTCATAGTGCCATGGACCATTCTCGAATACCCAAGTGCTAGTCTCTAGATCCGAAAACTGGAAGAGGAACTTTTGGTCCCCGAAGTGAGAGACTGTGATTCGCCTATCGCGTCCCCAAAATCAACGAGCCCAACGCCGCAATTGCCCTATCTCCGGTGCCGGCGATAGGAATTGTCCGACCAGAGCGTTCCGCCATCAAGCTGCCCCCTTATCCCTCACTGCTCGTGGAATGACCAATGAACCGTTGACAATCTCCGGAGCCACATACTGCAAACGATTAGGCTCCCCGGCGCCCAATTTGCAGGAGCACCCTGCGCGGCGGCAATCGGCCAGCCCGCACGAAACCCTAAAATTCAAAGAGAAACCAAAAAACTTTTTATTTCCAACGAGAGAAAGTTTTTTTCGTCAAAAAATAATAATTAGCACCTTGATCAATCACTCAGCTGCAAACTCTCAACAACCTTTAACAACTCCCATGACTCTATTCACTAAAAACAAATCTAAAAAACATAACTCAGCTAAAAATAAACCAGTGACGCGATTTGAACTTCTGCTTTTGATAAGGATGCTAATGGGTCGGGTTTCTCTAAACTGAACTCAACCTTTTGGGTGTAATCATTAAGAAAATTGGTGAAATACCCATTGGATCTTTAGAAGTAAAAATCTAACTCAATCTAACGAGTACCCCATGGGTTCACGAACATAACCATACATTACTTCTTCAAACATCCACATCGTAATGTTTTTTTATTTTTTTCCTACAACTATATCTCCATAAATACTACTAATATCATAAATTATCCATGTTATTATGTTTATATTGCCATAAAGACCAACAATATCAATGAATTATCCATATTATTCTGGTTGGATACAAAATGAATTCTTCTTGCTTTATGGGCACATGTCGAGTAAAAAATGGACTGAATTTTACCCATTTTAATCGAATTGAATTGAATTGGATACTCGTAAATTTGAATTCATCATTTGTCATCCCTATTTTTAATGCCTCTTCCAATCCTGTTCAAACAAGGAGAACGAGTATTGGAAATCCTTCTGCAACTCTGATTCCAGTGTGGACTTCAAATCACACACATGAACGGGAATGGATCAGGTCAGTAACTTTATGGTGAGTAACCATGAGTAACCCGTCCACATCAGCATGACATCAGCATCTCTCTCCTAGAAAGCCTTTAATTTCCCCTCCTTAATCTTTGACTGACGATTTCTCGCTCGTTTTAAGTTGAAATTTAATTTTTTTGCATAGTTAGATCAGATTAATTGTGCTCTCCAAAATGATATTCATTTTGATATATTTTTCAAACAAAAAAAATTGAGTCATTTTTTACCAGTCTATACCACATGGTATTGACTAGTATTGAAATAAGAGCATACCTATAGTTTGAAAAGCGTACCATGGTGGTATGAACAAACCAAGACTGTAGGATGGTTGAATACATGATAGTAGAAGTATACTGACTGTTATTTACGACTTTTAACATTGTGTACCTCAAGATATCACCTCCTACTAGCCTACTAGGGTGATATTGTGTGGTATTTTTTTGGTCATGTAATTTGTTCACGAAGAAATTTGTAGATCCAATAGATCATGATGAACACGTTCCTTCTGTGCAAATGTTTTCAAAAACGAATTAAAAACAAAAAAGATACCATATGGTATGTAGTTGGTACCAAGAGGCAAGAAATTTTTTTCAAAAAATATTGAAAATTGATCTCATTTTGTAGAGCACAACGAACTCGTTCCATCTGTGAAAAAAAAAATCCAAGTTAAAACGAAGAAAATATGAGCTGATTTAGAAAGTTAGGGAAAATAAAAATGACATTTAATTCTCCATCCTTATATCTGGATTTTCTAAATGAATGGTCCATATTTAGTTATTGATGGGTGCATAACCCATGCGCACTATCTTGAGCCCACATTAACCCTTGAGTACATGTCTGTCCACTTGTGATTCACATTTTGTCAAATACACTGTTGTACGCTAACCTAATCTCGTTTCAAAATGAAAGTGAAATCGATAATGTAAGAAAGTAAAGTGTACATAAACTTGTGTGGTTTACTAAGATGTGTGTTAGTTACGATCAGGTGCATGAGAGAGCAGTTTCACTATACTTGAAAATGTACTTTTTACAAAGATCGAAAAAGTATATATACATATATTATATATTCTTCACACGAACTAACCTAATCCAATGTGGGGAATAAATTACAAACCAAATGTATATATCCTCGTATATGATGACTTCCAATTGTAATATGTTTTGATCAAGTCATAACAAGTGAGATGATATAAAAGGGGAAAAGGGTTTAGTCAGTATTTCCCGTGGTTTAGGTTTTAGATCTGAATGATTATGATCTAGTGAGATCGGAGGAAGGCGGTTTGGAGTTTGGCTTGCCCATTACGGCACTAGATAAAGAAAAGCGCGGCCATTCTTCTTGGGCCCAAAGGAACAACGAATTCAGGTAACTATGTATGTACTATGTAGTAGTTACATGTTATAACGTAACCTTAAATAAGAAGGTGCAACACGTGCATGGATAAGAACAGAAAATGCGTAATCCATGCAAGCAAAGTTGTGCTCCGCCTGCCTGGAAGATAGGAACAAAAGAGTCTTTAAATTCACCGGTTCCATTTTCTTGTTACCAACACCTAAAACTATATATATCATAACGTATAGTTGGCCGACGTGAATTAGTAACTAATTATTTCCATTTGTGTTGTTCTAAGTTCTGTAAACAAAGCTTATATGATTTTGCTTCATCGTCTAAACCATTCGTACAATATTATAAAAATGTATAGTAAAAGAGGTCGAGATCGAATACTAATTACATGGCCATTCGTGGGTTTTTTTTTTCTTCTTCTGTTTTTGTGAATAACATGGTACGATCTCTCTCGCCATAATTCAAGTAGTCATGAACAATAGAGCGAAAAATAATTAACCAAGCTAGCCTCACTCCACGTGGAACAACATCTCATATAACAACGCAACCCTACTACAACAACAATGGAAGCTCTCCCACCGAAATACTAACCCACTTTTGTAATTATTAGCTCTAAATAAACTAAAAAAGTTTGTTGTTGTATCATAACTGCCCCAGCTAATCCCTGCACACCACTCATCAATCCCACAAATTCAGCTCTCCAGAAACCAACCTCTCTCTCTCTCTCTCTCTCTACTTATAGCCAACAACCCAACCCACACACACTCTCCTTCTCTCTCTCTCTAGAATTACCCACCTTCATTTCTCATCCTCCTCCTGATCAAAATGCATGCTTAATCCCAAGTAATCACAATATTCTTCCTAATACGTACAAACAAACAAACAAGAAGGAGATCATCATCATCATCATCATCATGAGAATGAGGCAAACCACAACAACCCGCAGCTTCCTCCAGGACGGCCATCCGCAAAGCTACAATAACCAGGAAGCCACCACATTGAAAGTCAACAAGGACTCCCACGCCATCGTCAAGAACAAATCCTCCACACACCCACCGCCACCGCCCTACAACAACAATTCATCATCCTCCCCGCCCTACTCCTCTTCATCCTCCTCCGCCTCCTCCCTCGCCGTCGCCGGCTCCGCCAAGCCGCCGCCGCAGCGCCACCCGGTCATCATCTACACCCACTCCCCCAAAGTCATCCACACCCACCCCAAGGATTTCATGGCGCTGGTCCAGAAGCTCACCGGCCTCTCCCGCTCCGACCACGACCCGGACCGCCGCCATCACCGCCGGCGGGACAACGCGGAGGAGGACACTCGCAAGACCTCCAATAGTAATAATAACAATAACAACAACGACGACAACGACTCTTCCTCGGTCATTACGGAGGAGAACGGCCACCACCAGCTCAATTCTTCTTCCTCCAATTGCTTTGTCAATCCTTCTTCGGTTTTCGAGTCTCCGTCGCCGCCGCCGAACCCCTACCACCGCCAGCTGCCGGTGTTTCCCCCCGCCGCCGGCGATCGGTTGAATTTATACCCGCCCTTCTTTGGCTACGCGGATCCGTTGTTGTTTGGGACGTCGCCCGCTTTCAGGAGCTTGGATGCCATTAATGATCACTTTCCCGAGTTCTCATAATTTTGTTTCCCTTCCTAATTAATTAGGGTTTCATTGCTTACATTTTTGCCAGATTTACAGAGGACTTTTTTTTTCCTTCTTTTTTTCAAAAAAAAAATTCATCGATTCTTTATTATTTTATTTTTTGCTTGCCTATGGTGCTAATAACACTCAGTCCGATACAATTTTCCTACTGTTTCTTTGTGTATTTTTTTTTCATCCATCTTTTCTCAACAATAAATAAAAGTTTCAAAGATATGCATTAATCTAATAACCACGAACTAAACTACGTATGGGGCCGTTATTCTAAGAAGAAACCTAAAGAAAAAGATTATTCAACCGAATTAAGATGGAATATCACAAAATCATATGTTTATAAGCCCATAGATCTTCGACACCAAGTGGTTTTCTGTCGACTGTCAGACTTCAAGTCACAACATTCACATGCAAAAACTACAATTTCACGTAATTCTATCAAATATTCACTTAAATTCAGGCACAAGTTCTACTTTTTTACTCACTCTCATTAGGTTACTCTTTTACTGTTAGTCCATAAAGTCAGTCAGTTAGTTGAGAGTTTGATCGAAGGCATGAAGGCTAGGGTACCTTCCTAAACTGAGATTTCAATCTCAAAAGTGTTTTCACAACCTTTTTTACTTCAAGAATGTCCCGTCGAGTGGGAGAAGTGGTCCAAAACGAGTTGGTATGGTCTAGGGCTTCCCGATTCAAAGGTTATGAGAAGGCCTTCAACCTCTTTCATAATCGTTGGAAGAAGTGGTAGCGTTGCTCAATTGTGCATCCTTGAACTTCAATTTGAAGGTGTTTGGCCGTCCGGCAAGGCCTAAAACAAATACCCATGAAGATGTGGTTGTTAAACATATGCATGCATGCATGCATGTAAGTATATCCAAGCTAAGTAAAACTATATGATTTTACTTGGTTAGTGTATCAGGTCAGTCAAACTTGTTACAATTGATCGATTGCAATAAAAAGGATGATATACACCGAATAAATGCTCATTATGTTTGTAATCAGCTGAAATGATCAGTCATCTGCTCCTTTATTGCAACTTCTCTAAGAAATATATGAAACTGTTTTTATCTAGTCTGAACATAGAAGGACATGCCTCCTATAGTTGGCACTATGGTGACCAAAACAAACCAACCCACCCGTTGGTTTTTTTAAACCTTAGCCTTATGGTTGGGTTTGGGCTTAGATGGTTAAAATCCGATATTATCCAAACGACCATGTATAAAGATCTCCAGACTCCAGTGAAAAAAATGAAGAAGAATGTAAAAGCAAAGGTTTGGAATCCCCACTTCTCCTCATCCTTCCCTTCATCTCCATTGAGAGTTTCCTCGAGCCATCAACCTGACCTTCCTCTCAGAGATCCCTTTCAACAGTTCACATTAATTACTTTCAGTTTCTTAACTGCCTTCTGTTTAGCCATACTACAACAACATTAGAGCCCCAGTGCCTTCAGGGTGGCAAGCTCAAGTTACAACAATTCTACAACACAGATGAATGATCATCATTCAGACACATTCATGAAGACCAAAGAAAACCGATCTGGTTGCCCTGAAGCTTAACTCTCTGCATTTTCTCCACTATGCTCGTCAGATGGGTTCGTAGCTGGAAACAGATCGGTGTCTGGGTACATTGTTTGAAACAGCTGTCCAGAGGGAAAGAAGTATTGAGATTAGATTCTCGTTACTAGAAGAGAAAGAACTTTGCATTTTGTTTTCTTCCTCATCATCTCTTCTCTCTTCTATGCCTTCTTTATCAAACCAATTATATGAAAGATGCATCTACATTACATTACCTCTAAGGTAGCATGGAAAACTGAATTGTAGTCCAGATCTCCATCGGGGGTGGGACTGGAAGTGATGCAATCAGATTGTCCCTGAACATAATTCACAGCCAAGTGAATAAACAACTGAGATAATCACATGCATCTATGAACTGAATCTAGAACCATGCAAAAATTTGTATATAATGAATGTTGGCAGTAGATTCCATATATAGTGAAAGATGATGCTCTTGTGCAAGTCCCCTGTTTCATGGGTTGACCCTCAATTATTTCACTTAATGCCTGCTTAAGCTTGACCTACTCTCAATCTGATAAAGTATAAACAAACAAGAGTTTGAATAGGAAATGAGAAGCATACTGTAGTTTGCAGCTCCTGGGCGTACAATGCACTCCAAAGCAATGTCGGTTTGCCTTCCTCGGCACCAACTGGATGGCTTACATTTTCATCAGAAGCTATGGAACTAGACTCAGAACAGTCAGGGAAAGATAACAAGGCACTCATGACTCTATTTAGCAACTTCTTCCCTTCAGCAACATCCTCGCACGAAGCCGAAAGGTAGATCACAAACCTGAAAATAAATCCAAAGTTTCAGTAAGTTACTGCTATCTGGATTTTAAAAAAATTGGTGCTATCGGATCAGAAACAGAAAAAGACAGTGAGCCTTCTGACATGTAGTCCAACATACATCTCTATATTCTGCAAGACTTACATTCCCATGGGACATATAGCTGAATTGCCACCAATCTGAAGAACTCGAACTGTTGTTGACTGCTCCGGGTACAATGCTGGAATAGACAATGAGCAAGAGAAAACGAAGCTATTAACATTTGGTCTTTCTTACAACTTCAACACAGTTTAGACGCAAACCAAAGAAGCTGATCTTACATTGAGGGGGATATAAAACCAAAAGATTTGGTACATCCGGCTTCAAAGAACTTTTTGTAATGCAAATTCCTTTAACCACTTTGCTTTTGACATTTTGGGTGGTTAGAAAGTCAAATCTTGAACAGAGAGAATCATCTGGGGATGAAGTTGGTGATGATTTAGTAAATGCTGGATCCAGAAGAAGCTTATTGCTAAACAGCTCCTGACCAGAGGCTAGCTTTACACCCTTGTAATTGCCACTACTCTGAAATTGTTCCAAAGTAAAAGTTGTGAATTGATACCTCATCCGAAACCCATGACTAAGAAGTGCAGGACATATATACAACAACTTTAAGGAAAGTTCCATACCTTCTCCACAAGTAAACCAACCACTCCCATCCGAAGCACCTGCAAGGCATAGGTTCCAGATACATTAAGTATATCACCTTTACCAAGTTTGTAATAAAAAGGTATATTCTTTAAGCTAGTTTCTATCACACAGAAAGTGTAAGGATATGAGACTCGATAGTCTCCAAATTATGTCGAGATCATGTTGTTTCTAAATTTATAGATAACTTCACGATCAATTAAGAACAAACTGCCAACCAATGATTTCATGAAAAAGAAACATAATCTAGGTCCTCAAACAGCAACTTAAACACCTATCAAATATTGGTCGTGGCCTATAGGGGGCGGAAAAACTCCCAAAATAATGGCCAGGTCATGAATAACCCATTGAATGGGAAAACGCACAAAAACGCCATCATAGTAACTCAAGCAATATGCAAAATCCAGAGTATTTTGCACCAATAGCATGCAGATGTAGCAAAGAAAGAAATACATGCGTAAAAAGAATAAGAATTAACTAATTAAGATTTTCCATTGATCAAGATTCAAAAAGAAGATAAACAAACCAAGATTAGGGTTAATCTCAACAGAACTTACATAGATACAACCTTTCACGGCTGCTCGACGACAAAATGCTTGTGGTAGTTCGCCTTGACCGTATATAGGATAAATAAAAGGCCCAGATGCATTTGCAAACCTGAACATCAAATGCCTTGCATCAAAAGGATACCCAGCACACTTGACACATAATTAACCGCATTCTTCATTGTCTGTTAAATGTTTTAGTATATAGTCCAGGAGAGGGATGATATATTATTGATTTACATAATTACATTACCTAAGTATCAGACTAGTATATACATTGATAAAAACTAAGTCTATATAAACACACATAGCCTGATTATCCATATTCACTCATGCTCAGAATAAGTAAATAGACAGGAGGAGCAATTAGGTACGAAACCTGCCAATTGACGACTGATAGCGAGCTAAACGATCAACTCCATCTTTTGTTTTAAGTACTTGTTTAGAAATCTCCTTGTTCTCCTGATCGCGGTCTGCCATAGCTATAGCATATAGAACGATTCTGCGAAGAGTATGAGTATGGAAGTGGGATCATCAAACAAGGAACTTAATAAGCAGATAGAAATCATAAAAGAGAAATAGCAAGCTAATTTATTATACAATCTAAGGTGGAAATACCAAAATGGACAGCTTAATCCAAACTTATCACAGCACACTTTTCAAATCACGTAGTGAGAAACAACCGAAATCATCATGTTAACCTGTTAAACTTGTCATCGCCAAAGCAATTAATACTTGTCAAGTTGCATATGGAGAAGCTTGTCAAGCAAAATTTAGCTCTAAGAAAGCATGAAAGTAAAAGAAGCTCACTAACAGAAAGATAAAGCCAGGAACAGCAGTGTGTACGATTTAATCTTTGCGGGCAGCTTCATTTTTGTCAAGAAGTCAACAAAAGGACTCTCCAAATCTTCCACTGAAATCCTGCTTGCAGTCTCCCGTTCTTCACCTTTTTCACTTTGGTTGACATCTGTACCAACCGATGCTGCTGTAGCTCTTAAGTGCCCTTCTACCAGTTTAAGGAACCTCATCAACTGATTCTTCTGAATCAAGCTCAAACTCTTATCCTTGAAAATTGCAGCCCGAGAATCAGGGACCGCCAACAATGCCCCATCCCCATCACCGATGAAGCTTGCATCAATGCTTTTAAATTCCACATACTGGCTTGCCTCAGACTTCAGCATAAGATCAATGGCCTTGTCAGCACAAAACAAGACCCTGGGACCAGCTAAGTCCAGAAGGAACTTTCTAGAGCATTCTTCCAATAGCGTGGGAGAGAATGAGGAGATTTCAAGGTCCGAGTAAAGAGATCGGCAATTGAGATTGATAATGGACAAATTGGGGTCATCAGATGGACAAGCAGTCTCCGGACACGGCTGTGAGGCAGGAGGAGCAGAATTCGAATTCAAGAAAGAATTGAATTCTGGAATGGAGAGAGATGCAAAATGAGAGCCATAGAAAGGGTTTGGATCAAGATGAAGGACTGTTTTCCCGGAAGTGGAAGCTGCAGCTGCAATCACTGACTCAGGCAAACCCGTGCCAATGACGATTAGGTCAAATGTGGTTGGGTCGATTGGAGGGTACTGTGGAAGTTCACTCATTGCAAGCAACCGATCAGCGATTCCCGGAAATCAGAGCTCAGCGCAAGAGGAAGAGGTGCAGTGTCCTGTTAAAAGGACAAGGTGATGAGAGAAAACTAAGAACAGATGGATTGGAATAAGTGAACACAATAATACCAAGCAACACTAGTTCCACAACGTTTGTGTCAAGCCTAAGAAAAGCATCACTTTTAAAAGCAAGAATCTCAACGAGACCTAAGCAAGCAAACTCGCTTGAAGATCCACTTTCCAGCTTCAGGGTTAATCGCATTCGAAAAAGCGCCCACTTTAGCAGTATCAAATGAATTCAAGGCTAAACTCTGACCAAAACAAAGACAATCCCCCACCAACCAATACTCAGTAAAAAGCAGCAATAACTAACTAGCGTGCATCCAATTTTCTTCGCTCATTCGTCAAGGCTACTCAATCGAAGCAGCAACCGGTGTTAATTATTCTAAGCGGCAATAGGAGGGAAAAGTGCATTAAGCCATCAGATCCTACCTAGAGATACCAGACCAGACAAGAAGCAGTAGTAACGAAGAGATTGCCGAGCTCAATCCCCACTGTAGGTCCCTTCAGGGCTCAGTGGAGAGGAGGACAGGAGCAGTCGGCCGGTTGGTGGGGACCGTGCCGTGGGTGCTCGTCTTTTCCGGCGGTGCTGGTCGACGGTGGTGAAGAGATGAAGTCGATTAATTAGGGTTTGAGTTGGAAGAATTGAAAGCGACGGAGAAAGAAAGACTCGTCGGTTTCCGTCCGACTCACAGGAAAGGTGAAGGGAGGGATGACGGAGGCGGAACGGCGGGAAATTCCCTGGAGGCCCTTGTTTGTTTGGGCCGGTCTTAGATGTATTTTGGGTTGTTCCCTTTTACTGGGCCGTCTATTTTCAGTCCCAAAGTCCTAGTGGAGAAAATCTGCTAACCTTTTGGTTAATCAAGCTCATCCAATCTCTACAAGAAAACAAATTGCTTCCTTCAATGATCCTGTTTTATGGCAATGGATATGGAATCAAAAGGTACCTCCTAAGTTGCATTTCTTTTTGTGGCAATGTTTACATCGTATTTTGTCGACTCGGGAGGCATTAGTATCGAGGGGTATGGACTTGTTGCCTATTTGCCCAGTTTGTGGGTGCAAAGAAGAAATGATAGAACATATGTTTTCAATTACTTTGTAGCGAGAAAGCTTTGGAGACTTATTGGTTTGCAGTGTTTGTGGGAGGCTTCGGAGAAAGGATCTTTCACAGGCTTCCTCCGTTTTACCATCATGAGGATAATAGGTCCAGATGCGTACTGCAAGATTATACTGGTTATTTATTTGTTGTGGAGGCTTTGGAAGAATCATTGTACAATGGTGTTCCAATCGAGACAAATTCGCATGGATGCTCTGGCTAATCAATGGTTGCATCAAGTGAAAGAGGTGGACCAAGCTTTGCTGCAATCAGCTCATGAACAAGCTAATAGTTCCGGTCGAGCTAATCCAGCACCTCCACCAATTAATCAAAGAATGGCTAGGTTTGATGCAGCAACATCTGCGGTGGGTTTGGTTCGGAAGGATTTGTGATGTTTGATCTGTCAGGTGGGATTGTGGCAGCTTCAGCTAATCGATATGAAGCGATGATGGATCCATATGTTTTAGAAGCCTTGGCTTTACGAGACTGCATTATTGACTGTCGTCGACGTGGGTTTAGAGATCTTACAATCTTTGGAGATGCTAAACTGATCATAGACAAGTGTTTGGCGAGGGATCCGGCTGACAGCAAGATTGGTACGATTCTGCAGGAAGTTATTGGGGTTCTAGATGATGTGGGTTCATATAAGATTCAATTCATTGGTCGTATCCGCAACAGCGCGACTCATTGTGTGGCCCACCATGCTCTTTCTTTATCGCCTCCATTGTTTCTGAGGTTTGACTTCTGTTTTTGGTTACATTCCAGAGTTGCTTAAACTCTGTTGATCATCATGTATCTGAACGATGTCCTTTTATTGAGAGTGATCTAATGGAGGGGGAGGGGGGGGGGGGGAATTCCTTCGTTGGTCTTGTTTTGCAACCATGTAAGCACTAAAAATCAATTGAATCGATGATGCAATGTAGTTAGTTAGTTTTTGTTTGATTCGATTATTTGTGGCGAGAGATTAATCATTATTATAGGCTATGGATACCTTGATAGTCCAAAAGATTGAGTAACACATGTTGGAGAGCAATATGAGATGAAGTGACACTTAAACTAGAACTCGTAATTTAATAGTTACGAGATATTAACAACAAGAGTTCAAGAGCAAAGTATTGCCAAAATTATAAACACCATATACACTAATATTGTACTTTACACATAATTTATGTGAAGATAAATGTATACACTGTTATACATAACTCGATTTTAATGTATTTTGTTGGTGTCTAATCGGAACAAAATCAATACATAATGTTGATGGAAAAAAAAAATTTCACTTGAAAACGTGGGAGCCACTCCTTCACATACATACCATAATGAAACTTGAAAATGACACAAAATATTGTGGACAAGCTACCAACTTAAAATCTTGTCCAATTCCCATGAGAAAGAAAGAAAAAAAAATTGGGTGTGTCCACTTACAAATTAATGCTTGATACATATGATGATGAGCCCACAAATTCTTGGATCCTTGAACTTGCCCATATTAGTTAGGACTTCTCTCTCCAACTACACCTAATTGGTGACCCTCCCAACCCCAAATATAGGAAATCAACAAAACTCGATCCATTTTGTTTGCTTTTTGGGGCCCATTTTTTAAAAATAATTCCTCTTCCAAAGCACTTGTTCATTGCATTGCTTCCTGCTGGCTCTCAGTTCTTAAACTATAGCTAGGAAAAAGCCAGGACTAGTCAAAAGGGAGTCAATTGAGTTTCTTTTTCATTTCTTTTCAGCATGGCAGAGAAGGAAGAAATAATGCAGAAAGCTGGCTGCCTCGAAGCAATTGGATTTTTACACTGGCTGATTTCCATTTCTTCTCGTCCAGCTACATTCATCTTCAGCGGTTTAGCAAGAATTTCATATAAGTAGATTTATTCAGGTTGAGATAAGGTGATCGATAATGATTGATGATGATGAGAAACTACGATAGGAGCAGTGGCGGAGTCAGGATTCAAAAGTACTTGTGTCCTCTTCACAAAATATAAACATAAATATATATAGGTTAGCGTACGTCCGGGCGTACGTTAGACTACCGTACGCCCGTTTGAGTTTTGCTATTTAAATCATGAATTAACAGGAGTTTTGGACATGATACTATACACTAACCACTAATGAATAAACCCCAGTCCCTAGTTTTCTAACCCAAATCATGAGATTCGTTTAATCTTAAAATGAAAATCAACAATAATTTCGACGAATCAGAACCGTTGATTTTCATTTCAAGATTAAATGAAAATTATGCTTTGGGTTAGTGAATTGCGGACTGGGTTTAACCCATTAGGGGTTAGGGTATAGTATCATGCCCCAAACTCCGGTTAATTCATTGTCTAAATAGCAAAACTCAACAGGCGTAGGGTAGGCTAGGGTATGTACGGGCGTACGCTAGCATTTGCCATATATATATAATAAAATAAAATAATTATTTAATAAATATAATTAAAATTAACAATATGAAAATAGTTCATTCATAGATAATGGAAAAATAACGGACTAATACAACATTGTTTCAAACAACCACGACGCGTTTTCATATTCTGAAAGAAACGCAAAATACATTCGTTATCTACACTCATAAGCAAATCTTTTTCAATATATCCAACTAAACAGTCATTAGCAAACTAATCACCAATTCTACTTTGAAGTTTGTTCTTAATATAGCTCAAAGCTGAAAATGCTCATTCTACACTTGCAGTTGCAACATGTAGAATCAAAACTAGCTTCAGAAGTAATTAAGCTGACGGATATGACAGATGCACTTTTGTCTTCACCATAACTTGAGATAATCATCAATTCCTTTCAACCCGGCAAATCTCTCATCAACCATACCCAACAAGCTGTTGTCGAATGATAGTATCATGAATGGAACCAAACTCATCAGGATAAAATCTAGTAAGACTAAACAACTTCTCCTGGTCAAAAGCAGCAATTGTCGCCGACGAGGGGTACAGAGTTCACCGACGTTGACACCGCGGCTGAAGGGGAGGGAGGAATGGATTCATTTGCTGCGGCTGCAGGCAAGCTGCGTTTTTGGTTCTGAAAGAAGAAAGGAATTGCCCGATAGAGAGAAAAATTGATTAGGGATTTTACTTTGGGTTTGAAGGTTGTTGTGGACAATCTTATACGGAGGTGAGGTCATGGGTGAAGGATGTTGTGGACATACATGGGGTATTTTTTTTACATGTGTTCTGGGACACATCCCAGGTGCTCTCCCTCCTCTATGGATAGGAGAATGTGGTGGAAGGTGAGTTTTTATAGTGAAAGACGAGTTGAGATGGGCATACATGGTTTTTTTTACCCCTAGAATTTACATGTGTCCTGGGACAGTTTTTATAGTGGAAGACGAGTTGAGATGAACATACATGGGGTGATTTTTTTTACCCCTAGAATTCACCTGTATCCTGGGACACATCCCAGGTGCTCTCCCTCCACCTATGGATAGGAGAATGTGGTGGAATGTGGGTTTTTATAGTGAAAGACGAGTTGAGGTTACAAGCAATTTTTGATATGTTGATCGAAGGAAAAAAAATAAAGATTTTGAGGGTGTTTAGTATTAGGATTTTGTATGGTACTTTTATAAGTGATTATGAGTGTTACAAATATTGTAAATTTGTAATGAAATTTTTTAATATATCACATCGATGACTATATGGTTAAATGATAGAGATGCAAGTTGATGACCAGAAGCTTATGTGTTCAAATCTGTTGTGGAGCATAAAAGTTATAAAAAATAAATGGTGTTCTAACTTCTAACTCCAAACCAAGGGAGTGCCATGGGATTGATCCCCTGAGAATTGAAGGGTTTTGTAGGATGAGGATTTTGAGTTTTGAAAATCTA